CGCGGTGAGCACTTGAGCTTGATTCGAGCTTGAATTGAGCTCAAAATCTAGTTTTAATCGAGCTCGAGTCTTGAGCTTCAGTTGTGCTCTCGATTTTTTTTGAGTTCGAGCCTTTTGAGTTTGAGTCGAGCTTCAATATTGTCTTTCGAGTTCGAGTCGAGCTCTCGAATTATTTTAGGCTTGACTTGGCTCGTTTACACCCTTAGCAACAAAGATGTCTACGACGGAAAACAAATTCAAGACGGCAAGAAATAAGCAATGGCGGCTAGAAGAATGTAGAGCATAAAAATAGGCGGTTTATTACTCCTATAAATATATGTGTTGATAGCTTTAGTTTATATTAACACAAGTGAGAAAAATGAAGGCTTAGAAAAGTCAGAATGAATAATAGCTTAGCAACTAAGCTTAGAATAGCGATGTTGTGTTTGTAAACAAGTCGCAGCTACTGTTGTAGTATTACAGTATTGTAATATTGGGGTAACGTCGTTGTAACGTTTTTTGTTTCGTATCAATAAAAGTTCGAGTGTTATAAATTATCGTGAGCCCATCTACTCTTCCAATATTGCTTCGCCCGTCATTATGTGGCTCGTCCGAAACCATGGCTCATTTTTTTCTCTTAGAAACGTTATGCAATGACATATCAATCAAAGTAATTGTATTGGTACATTCTTTTTGGTATCCATTTAATTCTGATTTAGATCTAAATGAACATCACCCTTATTTTGATTTTTTTTTTCTTTTCGTATAAATTAATTTAATAATAAATTTAATAATATTAGGCGCGTCGTAATGAAAGATCAAATGGAACGTGTAGTAATGCATATATTTAGTTCATTAAATATACTATTGATTACTAATGAAACTACTGAAAATGAAATGGCATAAAGAAAATCACTTTCCAAATTAAGTGTTACAGCCAAGCATTGTTGCCACTTGATGAAGTTGAAGTGTTCACAATAATACTAATTAATGTCTACACAATTAGCATTTGAAATTCCCAATTTTGTAATGAAAAACTCATGTCACTTAGGACTTAACCTAATAGTCTTTGAGATATTTTTACTAGGAAAGTTTTAATCTTTATTATAATTTCCATTTTTGGCTATACAAACTATGACAGACAATGCATTTGAGTCATTGTGAGATTAGTGAAAGATTTTTTTATATATATAACAAGAATATCCTGATTTTATTTCAATCATAAATCAGAAAATAATACATGTTTATTTAAATAGGTTTAAACTCATATTATTATAGATGATGCTAGGGGTGAGTATTCAATCGAGTCAAATTAAAATCTTTTGAGTTACTTGAGTTGATGGGTAACTCAAATTTTATTTGAAATTTTTCTTAATCAAGTCAAGTTGATTTGTTAGAGTTTCTGTTTAAATTTAATTGTAAATACTTATAATGTTATACACAAATTGATTCTAATTTAAATGACTTTCTATAACCATATAGAGGGACAAAAGCATGATTCTAAGTTAGGAGGGGTAAACTTATAAATTTTGAGAGACAAAAATAAATTATCAAAACAAAATACAAATAAAAAAATCTAAAATACGAGAATTTGAAATTTTCAGGGGCACCCTCAACCGCTCTCCCTCGATCCATCACTGACCATATATATATATATATATATCATACGTGATATACATATATCATGCAAAGTTGAAAGACTCTACTCAAACTTGAAAACAAATCCATTAATTATTTAAAATTTTGAGCTATTCAAACCCTACTTTATAACTCAAACTTTATTTGAATTTTTTCCTGAGTTGAATTTATAAAATTACGGGTCATGTCAAATAGAGTCAATTTTTGTAATGTCAAGTTTAGTTGAAAATTCAATTTTTTTCAAGTCAAATCAAATTTTGTTCACTCTTAAATACCGTAATAATAGATATGTCAATCAAACCGAAACTCGATTAATTGATCTTTGAATTATTGGATGTGATAATGTAAGGGTGAATATATGAATAAACTAATTAAGCCTTATATCTTTTTTTCGTAAATGCTTTTGCAATAATTGTCATCAAGTCCCGCCAATAATCTCATCAAACGAGTTGTACCTGCTTGAATTAATTTGGTTGAGTCATGCACGAACCAAACATTTATATTTCATTAATTTTCACAAGGCATCAACATGAAGCTTGAACAGATCAAAATCATACTTTAATGAAATAAAGAAAAAGATTGATCCTACACCAGTTGTCACCTTAAAGAAATACAACCCCTCAAAGTCCCTCCCTAATCACATTAAATCATATTCTTATTCAAATTGGCATGCAATCAGGAAAGGCTCCACCACATAGCTAGCTAGATTGTGTTTGAAACGTGTTGAAACCATGGAACCAATTTGAGCTTTTTCTATATGCACATGCATGTTTCTGGTTCATCACAAGTCGAATAATGAAATGATTGGTTCTCTTTTATTATAATACACCATGTAACATACAAACATGAGATATAAATGATTTCCCCCCGGAAGGGTCTCTTTCTTCCTTGATTTTTCATTCTACATATTTCTCAATATTAATCATTAGTGGCTCTTCACCTGATTAAAAAAAATCCTAAACTATCATCCAACATCTTTCATCTACAATCATTTAATGACCTTAAAACCAACAAGTTCAGAAGTAGTAAGTTCACCCTTACGCAGCTACTACACTAATAAAATGGATCCATTAAGACTCGGATAATACCATCTAGGATAGATTGATTTTCTCTTATCTTATCCATCTTGTGACACATAAGACATTGGATACATAAACGATCCTCTCTTTTTGGAGGGGTTTGTCTATCTTCCCTAGTTCTCCATTCAACATCTTTCTCTCCAGGTTGATCACGAATTACACCCTGTTCGATTCTAAAAAAATGAATCATGGACTGTCGTCCAACATTCTCCATTAGTGGTGAATGTATATATACTTGTCCACCTTAAAATCTCATTTTTCTTATCTTTAATAAATTATGTTAATATATGTACATATTCTAAATAATATTTTAATAAGCTGCAAATTGCACGACACTACCAATACTTTTATGCTAAATGCCAAATATGTCACTCTAGTATGATTTCCAAACTATTTTTATTCATCATCTTCTTTTTCTTTTTCTGGTAATGTAATTTCTAGCATTTAATAAACACAAATGCGTTGTTTGAGAACGAATTCCCTGCATAGAAAATTATATTGCATTGGAAGAATTTAGATGTCATTTCATGTCAGGCTTTTGCTTCATTAACTAATCGAACTAAAGTTTTTTAATAAATATTAAGATGATCATAAAATATATTTTAAAATAAAAATATCATTTAAACTATATAATATATGTTAAAATGCTTGATTTGAGAAAGCGGTTTCAAAGTTTCAATATATAATCTTCAGGTGACCACAAGTTCTCAACAAACCAATCAATCAACTAGCGACCTAAAGGAGAAAATGAAAAGCTGCTTTATATATATATATATATATACGGGACATGATCTTGTTACACAATGTAAATTTTAATTTTATATATATATTTAAGACTGTTGGATTAATGAAAATATATGGATGAGATTAACAGTGGGAAATGATGAGATATTCACTGAAAAAAATAAAGAGTCAATCTCAATCATCTACTTTTACTCATCCAACAATCTTAAATTTGTATAAAACTAAACAGTTTTATATTATGTTAGTAGATCCTAACAATATATATATAATGGATCAACTTTCTTTATCAATGTAAAGTTTTCTTTTAAAATAAAATAAAATTGAAGACCTACGGAGAGCTAACAAAACAAAACAAGTATAAATTCTTGATATACTTTGATAGAGATGAGCGTTTAATCGAGTCTAGTCAAAAAAAAATTTGAGTTATTCAAGTTATCGAATCTTATTTTATAATTCAAACTTGACTTGAATTTTTTTAGTCAGATCAAGTCGAGTTTTTAAGTTTTTGCTTAAATTTAATTATAAATATTTATAATACTATGATATTATTTTATTCCAATTTAAATAATTTTTATAACCATATACAATACACATATGTTTCTTCATATGTGACATACGTATATCATATAGAGTCGAGGGACTCGACTCAAACTTGAAAATACTAATTGATAAAAATTTCTAGCTATTCAAGTTACTATTCAAGTTATATTTTAAAACTCAATTTGAAATTAAAAATTTTTCGAGTCGAGTTTATGAAATTACAACTCGAGAAATCAATTTGAGTCGAGTAGAGTTAGAAAATTAATTCCACCCCTAAATTTCGGTATGTTAGACGAGTTAATATTAATGATTTGAATGTTGACGTTGCAAATAAAAAGTTTTGAACTGGATTGAGTTTTTTTCTCCTCTCTCTCCTCATCATTTGCAAATTAATATTCCAAAATTTCCAATGAAATGCAACCAAGTGGATACAATAATTTGTTTTTCTTTTGGGGTCAGCAATAAGATATGATTCAACTTTGTCAACTTTTCTTTTCAATGATAGTTAACGAATTAGGTTAAGATCACAATCCGCTTTGGAAATGATTGCAAGCTGGAACAAAGACAAATACATACATATACTATAATATTGTAGGTATAACATCAAAATTAGCCCTTTAACATTTAACTCTTATTTTGTGGAAGTATTTTAATTTTAACGTTTCATTTTAAAATAAAAAATTTCTTAATCTAATAATCACTTTGACCTTTATTCTTTTATCTAGAGTATTTTTACCTTTAATATTTTGTTTTAGGGCAAAAATACTCTTATTTTGAAACATTAATTGTTTATCAATTAACGGTTTCTATCAACACAAAGTTTTTTTACCCCAAAATGAAATATTAAGATTAAAATATTCTAAAAAGTAACAACTAAAATAAATATTTAATTAAATGATTAATGGCATTTTTTGATTTTATACGATAATATTGTATAGATATGTTAACTTATATATACCTAAAAATAATACTTTGGGCAAATGAGAAATCTTGTTTGCATGACCTTGATATGTACCTCTATTACACCGACAGATGGCACAAGGGATCCGATGATGACGGCTGTGACGATGACTTGGTCAAGCTCAATAGATCATTCTCCTCACTGTAGACCTGTGAGTTTTGATTTGATCTGTCCAAATTTATGATCGATAATTGAATATCATCATCGCGACAGAGACTGAAAACCGCATTAGGGTCACTAAAACAGGATAGTTGCTTGCTTGTCTCTACTTGACCATTTAGCTGGGATGCCACAAGTCGGTCCAGGGTGACCCAGTCATTAACGCCATTTATGGACTCATTATTGCTCTCGACTGATGAAAAAGTGTGATGATCACCGCCACCGGCCCCTTGGTTGATTGAAGATGGTTCAGTATCAGTCAGATTATTCATCGGTAGAGAAGGGAGAACTGGGCTCTCCAGCCTTGGGAGATGCATGAAACTTTCATTCAATCCATCGTTGATTCCTGCAACAAGCATTCTTAGATTATAGTTGCTGTTGTTGGGTATGTTCAAGTTGTTCAATGAATCATTCTCCATCTTGCATGTCCTTCCCATATGCATGAAAATCTGATCTAGTTCCCCATCGTTGCCTGAGCTTTTTGGACTCTCTAGGGTTTTCTGATAATTCTTCTTTCTAAATATACGACACACCACCCAACCTTCTTCAGCCATACATTCTCCAATTGGATTGGAAGCCTGGACCCATTTAATGATATACTATAAGTAAAACATATACATACACACATATATATAGGATAAATTACACCAGATACCATTGAATCTTAAGTGTTATATCATTTATATCATTGAACTTTCAATTTTACCAATTATAATATTATATTTAATTTGCATTCTCCATTTCAATTATATCATTTGACCATTAAATTATTAACAACATGATGACGTGACTAATATTTAACCACTGAACCAACTTAGAACATGAATCATTTGGGAAAACTGAACCAACTTAGTATTACCCTTATGTTTATTCAATTTTCCCAAAGGTCTCATGTTGAAACCCTTTCAAGCCATTCTAAGTTGGTTCAGTGGTTAAGTATTAGTCACATCTCCATGTCGCTAACAAGTTAATGATCCAGTGGTATAATTGAAACGAAAATTAAAATTTAGTGTTATAAAGAAAGAAGACGATTGCTTACATTAGAGTCAAGGGTGGTGTTGTTATCTTCAAGCCTGTACTCATGCATAATCCAATCAGATTTTTGACCATGTGGAGCTCTTCCTTTATAAAACACCAATGTCTTCCTCAACCCAATACTTCTAAAGCTACTATTTATGATCTTATCACGTCCAGTAGCTTTCCAGAATCCGGCAGCCGTTGCACGATTAGTTCTGGTCCCCGTTGGGTATTTTTTATCCTTTTGGCTGAAGAAATACCAATCATTTTGTGGGGTGGATCCTATTTTGCACTTTTCTGCTTATAATCAACAAAACCCAGAATTTTATTAAGATCCCAACACTTATTAAGAACAAAGGGTTTACAGTTTAATGGAATTTGGTGCTAGTACCTTGAATATCCCAGGGCTCAAGCTTGTTAAGATCAACTTCAGGAATCACATCGAGGTCAATCTTTTCATGAGCTACTTTCTTTCTGAGGTAATAGTGAAGAAGCTCTTCTTCTGTGGGATGGAATCTAAAACCCGGAGGGACCTGAAACTGGCCATTTATTGATAGATTCATGTCTTCTGACATTAGCTGAATTGATCTTCTCTTCAGATCAGGAAAGAAGGTGGCTTGGAGAAGAGAAAGCAAAGAGGGGGAGAGAGAAAGAGAGAGAGAGAGAGAGCAAAGGAAAGCATACAATAGAGGTTGATGCAGTGATGATAATTTATAATGGTTCAAAGATGCATGGAAAGTTTTGGTACGTTGGCCATTGGTGTACTTGGCAATGTCGTCTATCCAGGTATGAAACGAGGGAGATTGGGGTGCGGTCGTATTCTAAAATAATTAATTTTTTACGTAATTTAAATATTTTTTTTATTTTTTTATTATTTAATTTTATATATTCTGAAATTTTATAATTTTGTATCATTAAATTTTTAACATAATTTCTTTTTTAAAGAACATTTTAGAGTGATTACAAAATAATATTACTTTATAATATTTTTTAGTTATTAGCAACACATATATATCTTATAGACATAGTTGTTCGAACCCAAAACTTTTAAGGAAAATAACACTTATTTTTATCATTGACCCAATTCAATAAATTTTTAATAACTTTTTTTAGTAGTATGAAATGATTATAATGTAATATTTATTTAGAATATTTTTTAATTATTGACAATTTACATAAACCCTTACAATCCCAACTGTTCAAATCTAAAATTTTTAAGAAAAAATAACATTCTCTACAACTAAGTACCCTCCATATGCTTTTAAATACAAAATTTTACGTCGGTTACAAGATGTATGCCCTTGAAAAGAGCCAACCACCTAAAAACTAGACATTATAGAACCGAAGGAAATAAATGGTTGGATGTATAGAGAAAGTAGGTCCTACACTATTGGCGGTAAAAAGAGAGGAAAATGGGCTCTACACTCATAAAATGTGGGAGCGGGGCCACATCTCAACTAAGACCTTGGACCTTAATATATATTTGATAAACACCTCTGTCCCCAAAGTGGTGTGTCCCCTCCCCCTATTCAAGTACAATTAAATGAAAGATTTTAAATTTACAAATTAATTATGTAAAATTTTATACACCCTTAATAAATTTCATTTTTTTTTATGTTTTTAATGGTTTAAAATTTTTACCAAGTGTAATATTTTATCAGAAGTCATTGTTTTTTTAGATAAGTAAGAATTTATTATCCAAATAGTAAGAAGCTACAAAATACAATAGAGTCAATACATATTACATACAAAAAGAATCAATGGTTTGCAATATTCCAGTGATTGCAGAGTTTAATGTTCACAATAAGCATTCTATTAAAAGTCCTACCCTTTAAGTGAAGTCTAACAACATCTTTAATAGCCTTAAGTAAGTCTTCAACAGTCTTGGAACAAACGTTTGTTCCTTTCTTCCCATAACAAATACACTAAAGTGTTCAAGGTCAGCTTCATAACCAAGGAAAACAAGGATTTTCCTTTCCAGTTAATACATGCCTGAGACATGAAGTCATCCCAGGTGCAGGCAGAAAAGATCAAACCTGATAAAGAGAATATGGGCTCCCAAAGGGAAGCTGCAGTAGGACAAGAAAGGAAGAGGTAGTCTCTTGATTCAGGTTCTGCAGAACAAATAATACAAAGAGAATCAATAATCACTCTCATGTGTTGTAATCGGTCCTTGGTAGGAAGCCTATCCAGAAATGCCATCCAGGTGATAAGGCTAAATTTTGGTATGTGCATGGGGTACCAAAGTAGTTTCTGCCAAGGAATCGTGGGTCTCTTTTCTCTGATTGAATCCCAGATGAAACTAACAGTGGCAGCTCCTGAAGTCAGTAATTGATGCACCTCCAGTCTCATTTTCAGTAACCTCTTCATGCACCAGCTGGTGCTTGGTTTTATCTCCACTGACCATAAGTTCTTGTCCTTAAAAACATAAGAATTGAGCCAAGCCACCCAAAGAGACCTTTGTCCTGCTAGGATTTTCTTAATTAGAAGGATCATACAAGCCTTATTCCAAATCTTCATATTTTTAATTCCTAGCCCACCTTCAGATTTCAAACAACAGATATTGGATCAGCTTACTCTAGCTCCAGAAGCTGCTCTGTCTGACCATTTCCAAAAGAACCGGGAACAAAGTTGCTCGATCTTTGCAAGGATAAAGTTAGGAAGGAAGAATTGCCTGCACTAGAAATTAGAAATAGAAGTGAGGATTGTTCTAATCAGTTCCAGTCTGCCAGTGTAGCTCAGAAGTTTAGTGGACCAGTGATTCAATCTAGTTTTGATATTTTCAATAAGGATCACACAATCCCTATCAGTAATTATTTTAGTAGTCAGTGGAATACCGAGATATCTAACTGGAAGGGAGCCAAGGTTAAAGCCAAAAATCTCTTTAATTTTTTCTTTTGCAGCAGAGGACATTCCAGCAGAAAATACTTCAGTTTTTGAGACGTTGAGTTTAAGTCCAGACATCTCATAGAAATAATCTAATACACTCGAGACACCAATAACATATTGTACATTTCCTTTGCAAAAAATTAGGAGGTCGTCAACAAATGATAAGTGAGTCAAACCAATTCTTTTGCACTTGGGGTGAAATCCAAAAATACCTTTAGTAACAGCTAGGTTGAGAAGTTTAGAAAGAACATTAATGGAGATGACAAAAAGCAAAGAAGAGAGATGGTCTCATTGTCTTAGTCCTTTAGCACCCTTGAAGAACCCAGACAAACTTCCATTAAAGGAAATAGAGTAGCTAGCAGTGGTAAAACAAATTTCCAGCCAAGAAGAAAAAATAGGAGGCAGACCTATAGCTTTCAAGATGGATAAAATGAAGTTCCAGTTGATAGAATCAAAAGCCTTGTGAAGATCAATCTTCAGTGAGCATCTTGGAGAAATGTTTAACCTATTTTATCCTCTAACCAGTTCCTGAGCAAGTAAAGTGTTATCGATGATGTTTCTTCCTTTAACAAAAGCTTATTGATTTAGTGCAACCAAGTCAGGAAGGAGGAGAGTCAATCGCCTTACTAGGATCTTAGAGATAGCTTTGTAGATCACAGAACAACATGAGATTGTTCTGAAATCCTTAACCTTACTTTGATTAGGAACCTTTGGGACCAAAGCAATAACAGTTACGTTGAAGGCAGGAAGAAGGAAAGAGTCAGAAAAAAAGTGAGAGACTGCAGCAATAACATCACTTTCGATGATGTGCCAGGAAGTTTTAAAGAAGAAGGGAGAAAATCCATCTGAACCTGAGGATTTTTCATTCCCTTGGGAGAAAATTGCCTCTTTGATTTCTTCTTTTGTAACATCTTTAACAAGAGCAACAGATTTTTTAGCAGTCAAAGAGTAATTAATTAAGTGTTTCAATAGATTAGGGTTAATTCCCTTAACAACAGAGTCTGCCAACCCTAACAGGTTTGTAAAAAAATTGACTACCTCAGCAGACATAAGGTCATAGGTTTCCAGTTGATTGCCTTGCTCATCAATAAGAATTCTAATAATGTCTCTTTTATTTTTGAGAGCTACAGCAGAGTGGAAGAATATGGTACACTTGTCTCCCTCTTTTAACCATTGGACTTTTGCTTTTTGTCTGAAATATAAAGCTTCAGCTTCTTCTAATTTTTTCACTTCATTTTGGATAAATAACTCTTTATCAAAAGAGTCCTCCCCTCTAAGGGTTTTAATTTGCTACAGTTCAAGGTCAACTTTAAGTTTGGTCACCTTTGCAGGAATGTCACTATAACAAGACTGGTTTAGATCCTTCAAACTGACTTTTACACGCTTAAGCTTGGAGAACAGGATCTGTATAGGATTTCCAAGGGCAGGTTTTGACCAGGACTGGTTAACCACATCAAGGAAATTAGGGTGATGAGTCCAATAGTTAAAAAATTTAAAAGGCTTAGGCCTATTAGCTTGCAGTTCTTTACTGAGCCAAACTTGTGCAAGACAATGGTCAGAAATTCCGGGGGAAAGGAACTCAACATGAGAGTCTTTGAACGTTGTCGCCCAAGAAGAGTTTATAAGGACTCTATCGAGCTTCCTAGCCAGAAAAGAACTTTGTTGTTTATTGCTCAAGGTAAACAAAGGACCAAAGAAAGGGTGGTCAAATAAATACAGATCATGGAGGACATTTTGGAACTCTCTCATATCTGGAGAAGTCAAAGGGCCAATGAGATCATTGTCAAAACTTTCATTAGAGTGGAGGATGATGTTGAAGTCACCTCCAAGGATCCATGGGAGATGACCTATGTTAGCTTCAAGATCATGAATATGCTGCCAAATGAGCCTTCTAGTAGTACCATTGTTACTGACATAGATTGCTGAGATTACTAAAGGGACACTTTGGAAGAGGCATTGAATAGAAATATTCTGGTCAGAAGAACGAATTACGGAGAAGGGAATGTTTTTTTTTTCATAAAATTCATATCCTTCCATTAGGAGTATGGCCATAATTCGAGTGGACAATCCAATCAGCAAACTTAGAACCAATTAAGACAGTTGCCTTGTCATCTTTCACTCTAGTCTCAAGTAAACAAAATATATCAACTTTTATTTGGGAAGTTCTTCTTAAAACCCTATCTTGTTTTAGAGGACTATTGAGTCCTCTAACATTCCAAAATGCTATGATCATTGAGAAGGGAAAACAGAAGTACTCCCTCCACCCTCGGCTACATTGGACTTTGCCTTATCAATTTTTTCTTTCTTTTTGGATTTTAGGTCTTTTACTAGGACAACCACACCTAGTGATGATTTGCGAGGAATTGTTTTAAGGTCTACGGGAGCAGGAGGGATTTCCTCAACGTCTTGAAGAGCCTGGAACGAATTAGAAAATCCTGAGTCAGATTTGACTTTAGCAGATCTTTCCATTCCTTTTTTAGGGATAGGATCACCTTTGCTTTTTGAGGAAGAGGTATTGGAGGCAGGATTAGATAAATCCTGTTTAGCCTCAGCTGGGTCAAGAGCCGGTTCTTTAGGTTCAGGTTCTGCAGTACCAATTTCTGGAATTGTCTAATTTTGTCTACTTTATCATTAGGTGAATTACCACAAACAACAACAATCTTACTATTAACTAAACTGGAGGGGGAATTAGATTTTTCTTGAAGCAGCTCCGCACCTCCTACCAAGGGTTCAACATCATCAGAATTAGGAGAAGTTCATTTTTTCCTCCAGACTTGGGTATTTACAGTAACAGGGGTCTTAGAAGAACAGACCTTTGAATTGTGACCGAAAGCTTTGTAGTTCAAACACCTAGCTGGCATCCAAGGAACATCTACAACAATCGAGACTGTTTTTCCCTCAGAAAGAACCACCTCAATAGTTTTAAGAATTTTTTCGTTTATCCCTATTTCAATACAAAGCTTAGCATACTCTAAATGGGATTTTGTAGCAGTGATAGTGTCCATGGAAAGGGGTTTTTCGATGGCACTTGCTATATAACTGAGACCTATTCTAGAGTAAAGCTCAAGAGGAATATTGTAAAGGTGAACCCAAATAGGGATACTTGAGAGATCGAAACTAAGCTTATTAAGGTTTGGCTCCCATTTTCTCAGAATTAGTGGTTTGTTCAAGACATGCCATGGGCCACGTTCTCTCTCAATTTGTCAGCGTTGCTCGTTTGCTCTCATCTTTTATTTTTGTTAACAGGCAGGCGACGATAATCTTAGAGCTGGATAGCGATAGTTGATATTTTTTATTTTCCGTCTTTTTATTGGTTGTTTTGGTCATTTCTTAGAGTTGGATTTGATAACGTCTTGACTGATTAAGATGACGTTAATTTGTTATCTTGATGATATTTTTTGATTTGGACCCTTAAATTAGATTTAGATACACGATTTACATTCAGAAAAAGTTGTCTCACAAAGCTCGACTCTAACTTACGATTGATAATAATCTTTCAATATTTTTGTACTTTATTATGATTCGTTTGCCGATGCAGTTAGGTATGTTCATTTCGATAATTTATTCAAGTATTTTGAATGCGTTTTTAACATTTACCTTGTATAGTTATTATATACCAAGAATAGTTATAGAAAAATATCATAATTATACGTTTATATTACCCTTATAACTATAAACTTTTATTATAATTTTAAATATTTTTTAATAAAATTAGCCAATTCTATTTGTATATATATTAGTTGCATGGATTTGAAATGGCCACGGGTTGTATTGTGGTTTGGAAAGATGGTAACTAAAATTGCCCAAAAAAAAGCACTTCTATTGACTTCCAATATATGATGTTGGATGGGGAATTTCTACAGTGCGACACTCTTAATATACGATTAAGGAAATGTGTTATCGGTCTTGTTATTTTTTTAATAAAATCAGTAAAAAAATTACCTAAAACATTATTATTTTTACTTAAAATATTATTAGTTTTTAACAATTCCGGTAAAGTGTCCAATAATAATAAAATCAGTATAAATAATAATATTTCCTGTAATTTTCACCGATTTTGTTAAAAAATAATTACAAAATCAATATCGTCTTTTTTTAGCCGTATATTAAGGCTGTCGTACATGGGGAAATTCTACAGTGTGGCACCCTTAATATATGACTAAGGAAAGGCGCTATTGATTTTGTTATTATTTTTTTAACAAAACTAATAAAAAATACTTAAAATATTATTATTTATACCTAAAATATTATTATTTCACCCTAATGTGGACCATTTTGTTTTAAATTAGCATGTATTTCTTCGCCCTACAATCTGTTGCTTTCTTTGATTTTACATTGCAACTGCTCAATCTCTTTCATTTGATGTTTGAATATATATATATATATCTCTCTCAAAAATTATAATCAATATTAACATCCAGTTGATTTTGTGAGAAAAATATTAAATTTTTTAAATAAGTTTAGAGTTTTGGACCTTGATATTTACAAATAAAATAAACCGGATTGAAATAGTCACTTTTATAATAGATTAAATAAATTAGTCAAGGTCTGTGCAGAAAATACTTACTGAGAGACTCACTCATCAAAATCAAATGTGCAGCGTATATCGGTCCGAATTAATTAAAGTGAAACCTTAAAACTGAAAGGTCAAAATAAATAAATAAATTAGTCTAATTATAGTATATGTTTGATTTATACCACTTCTTTTTATTGATTACAACTTTATATCAATTACGAAAAACAAAAGGACCGTAATGTTCGTATTTTGTCCGGGCCTTAAAAACCCAATTTGGAAGCTCGTATAAAAATTCATATATTTATTAGTTTATCCAAAGACATTATAAGTTAAACGTGGGACCTAAAATATGTGCCAAACCAACTTAACTCGGTAACCCTTAACCCATTTACAAATAATCCAAATGTGATGCCTAATCTACAATCGATTTAAGCCCAAACTTAGTTTCATTCCGTCTAAACTAAACCATGATCTAATAAGTTCAAATTTTAAATCAAGGTTGATTAATTCTAACCCTAAGTGCCCAGTTACCACCGTTGTCAAGGACTTCAAAAGCCTCTCCCGTCTAATGTCGCGGCCAGGTCGATAGCCACGCCAACAAGGACCATTGATGAGATTTTCGAAGGACCTTTCTCAGCCAATCACAAATGTAGAAAATAACTTCAGTGATCGAAAATATTTTATAATATATAATTTTAATCATTTTTTTTATTTACAAAAATAATCAACAAATTTACAACGCGGACTTCTGTTTCACAACACAATTTTTAAATTCGTAACTCGAACATGAAAATTTTCGCAACGCTAATTATCAATATAGGTAAACACAACTATTCGCAACGAGAATTTCGTTTTCGCAAAACGAATTCGCCAATTTCGCAACTCAATTACTGATATAGGTAAACAAGGTAGAAAAAATCCGATCAAAAATCTGAATTCGCCAATTTGAAAACTGAGTTGTGAATTTGACAAATTCGTGTTGTGAAATGTAAAATCTCGTCAAAATCATTTCGACAGTTCGTTTGTTTGGTTAAAGTTAAACGAACGGACGAACATGAACATACCCTCGTTCGTGTTTGTTCAATTCATTTACAGGCGTAGGTTTAGCTGAGTGATTTATACGTGGACTTAGCAACTGGGATGTCCCAGGTTAAAAACTACTACAGTGCATTTTATGTCCTTTAATTTTTTTTTTAAGAGGCGAGATTTTACATTTCGTAACACGAATTTGTCGAATTCGGAACTCAGTTTTCAAATTGTCGAATTCGGATTTTTCACCAGATTTTTTCTATCGTGTTTACCTATATCGGTAATTGAGTTACGAAATTGGCGAATTCGATTTGCGAAATTCGCGTTGCGAATAGTTGTGTTTACCTATATCGATAATTAACGTTGCGAAAATTTCCATATTCGAGTTGCGAATTTGGAAACTGTGTTGCGAAACAGTGTTGCGAATTTGTTGGTTATTTTTGTAAATCCAAAAAAAAATTGATTAAAATCGTATATTATAAAATATTTTCGGTCACTGAAGTTATTTTCTTATGTTAAATTCTCATACTCTCTAACTATTCATCTTCCCTCAACCTAACTACCAGCAAACAAACATGATCTGTCAGGATCAAATAAGTTGTTAAACAGTTAATATATATTCAAGTGACCAGCTTACAGGACGTTATTTTGAAAAAAATTATTAAAATTTTACTTTTATTTTTAAATCTCTAGATTCATCACCGTTAATCTATGAATATTTATGTTTAATATTGACATCAAAGATCACTATAAAATCCTTCAACCGAGATGAAAAAAGAAAACTTCATCGTCCCCCTTATTTTCAACTTAATATTTTTTAAGAACCAAAAGATATTGATAGTCTACATATCACCATGAAATACCAACTGCGTTATTCGTTCAGAAAAAAACAAGATGATCTAAAGTTATCACAACCCAAATATTACTTGCGACATATATGAATACTAAAAATATAATCTGATGATTAAAATAAAAATACAATAATATAATTATATTATCATTTGTACAGACACTGCTCGGTTGATGTATTTTTTTTATAAAGTATACAAATGATCTTATGACTAACACTATTTTGTTGAATATGTCGACTATTAAAAGTTATAAAATGGTCTTTCGACTATAGTGAGTTACTTTGTTGAGTCATTCGAATATTATAAATTATAAAATGGTCACTCGATTATTCATTGTGTTTCAAACTCGTCTTTTTTCATTAAAAAATTAACGACGGTCTGAGCTAGATATTAACTTGCTAATTGTGATATGATAAAATATAATATCATAATCTCAAACGATTATCATATCGCAATCAACATGTTAATATACAGCTTAGACGAACGTTAATTTTTTAATAAAAAGACAAATTTAAAACATAATGAATACTTAGATGATCATTTTATAATTTTTCTTAATAAAAATACTAAATAAAATAATTTATTATAATTAAAGAATAATATTATAACTTTTAATAGTAAGTACAGTCCACCATTTACCTTAACTAGGGGTGTTCGCGGTCGGTTTGGATCGGTTTTTGGCTAAAATTTCATTCGATCCGAAAGTATAAAAATTTACGGTTTGGATCGGTTTGGATGTTTCTAAAAAAAATATCCGATCTGATCCGATCCAATTAAGTGCGGTTTAATTCGGTTTGGATTTGTGCGGTTTTTGAATTCTAATTTTCAAAATTATATCATCCCAACACAAATGGTTTTGCTTTCCAAATTCTCCCCATGTTTCAATGCCGTGACCTGCAATTAGGCATTCCATATTTCCAGTACTATAAACAGATCATTTCTATGGAACATAATTAAATATGCATAAAAGGTTCCCTTCTATGCAATTATGCATTCCATTTCCAATACTATAAACATTCACCAACACCTAAAAAAATAGATCATAACATTCAATGTAATTAAACAAAGAAGCATATTACCACTACACTGCTATCAAGTTCCAACTTTACAGATAACAGGATGCAGTAGCACAAAAAAGGATCTTGCTCTGTTATAAATAGGCTCATAACAAAGCAATTTTGCAAAAAGAGCGAAAGAGAAACATAAATAAATAAACAAAGCACATGGTACAACTATGAAGACGAAACCATTTGCTCTGAAATCTGAATCGATTGAATTTCATCATCACAGATAATCATACTTCTAATTTACTTCAACAACTCGTTAATCCCAAAACCCAGAAGGATTTGAAAACAAGAAGAAAATTCCTATTAAGAAACAAATATAACCGATGTTGCTCCACTTTCAGATAAAACCTACCACTATTTCGCACAAATAAAAAAAGATAATCGAAAAGTACCGAAATTAAAATCCAAATTCTAACGAATTGTCAAAAAAATTGATTAAAATATGAACAAGTAAAGAAAGAAATAGCATTTAATTGAACAAAGAGAAGATGCTATACCTGAAAGCCAAGACCCCCACAAAGAAGAAAAAGATTCGAGCACCGTTGCTGAAAATAAGAGAGACAGAGAGAGAAGAGGAAGCGAAACAGTATCGTAGCGTGTAAGATAGAAGAAGATATGCGATGGAGCGAAGAGGCGGAGTAAATTGGGAAAAGTGGGCTAGGTTTTAGTTTTTGGTCAGAACATCAAACGGTGTCGTTCTGCTAGATAACTAAATATCGGTTCAGTTCGATTTAGATCGGTTCTGGATGTCTAAACCGAAATCGAACCGAACCGATCTATTTTGTAAAAAAAACCAAACACACCAAATCGGTTTCGGTTTTTTTCGATTATCGATTTTTTGAATCGGTTTTCGGTTATTTTTTTGGTTCGGATTGGATCTGAACACACTTAACCTTAGCTTCGGCACACTATATTTTATTATTTTATTTTCTCTCTCTTCGGATTGCTCTCAGATCTTCCTCTATTCCGTTTTGGCGTAGCACGGAAATCTCTCGTTCAACGCTATGTCCGAAACGACTCAGGGATCCGAACTTCAGAATGGTTTCCAACCACAACCCGAACCGGAATCGGAATTGAAAGTGGAATCTCAACCTGAACTTCGACCGGAAACGAAACCGGATGAGGAATTGAAAGCGGAACCAGTGGTAACTGATGCCGAGCCGGAGCCAGAACCGCAAAAGGACACAGAGAGCTCGATCCAGTCGATTGAGACGGCCAAACAAGCATCCACCGACCAAGTTGCTCGTCCGGGACCGGGTAAAGATGAAGAGAACCGGGCTTTCACGATGAGAGAATTGATAAGTGAATTGAAAAGCGAAGACGATGCAGGTTCTCCTTACAGGTACCTTTCTTTCCTCATCCATTTCGAGTCTCAGTTGATAAAAAAATTACTCTCTTTTATTTGTTATTGGATTTAACGAGATTTCGATGTAGCAACCTCTGGATCTTTGGAATTCTCTGTTAATTCGTCTCCTTAACTAAATGTGGAGAATCATTCACGTTTCAACTGGGCCTAAAATTAAGCTGTTTTACTTTAAAATCCTGAATAGTGAATTCAGAGTACTTTGATTCTTGAATATCCATCGGCGAACTACTAGATGCAATTAAGGCGTACTCTTCCTGTTTGATTGGGTGTTCATTTCATTTATTGCATGGATAAGCAAGTGTTCTTCGATCACGGTCTTCATTTCTCTTGAACCTTCTCGTTAGAAACTCAATATCTTTGAACTTTAGATGCAACCATGTATGTTTTGCCGTATTGGAGCCTTTCAGTTAGTTCTGAATTTCAAGTTTGGCTTTAACTTTATAGAATTCAGTTTATAATATTTTTCATATGCCGGCATTCATCTGTAAAGGTTTCTTGGTCTTTTCGGAGTAAATATGATATCATCTTGTTTCTTCTGGTTGTCAATGATATCATTTTCTAATCCATCATTTATATATACTTCAGTCAAGAAAACTCGCAACGACAATCCTACCAAAACAATGCTGCAATGGAGTTGATAAATAGTGTCACTGGAACTGATGAGGAAGGCAGGTCTCGCCAACGAATTCTTATATATGCTGCTAGGAGGTGCTATCATCTTGTTTACACTTTTCACACTTACTATTCATATTGGGCTTGATATGTTGCTTCTTTAGAGTCTGCTATTCTGTATTACTAATTTTCAGTCAAATTTTATAGGTATGCTACTGCACTAGAGAGAAACCCAGAAGATTATGATGCTCTTTACAATTGGGCATTGGTTCTTCAGGTTTGAGATAATGGTTCATTTTGATTTTGTTATCTTAATGTCATTCAAAATGATATATCATGCTCTATTCTTGTACTCCTAGAACAGTCTGCTTAATTTTGTCAATTTAAACATATAGTAAATGCCACAAAATGTTACAGATTTCTCATGATGTCCAATCGGTTCTTATTTGGCTTGCAGGAAAGTGCAGATAATGTTAGTCCAGATTCTACTTCACCTTCTAAAGATGCCTTGCTAGAGGAGGCTTGTAAAAAGTATGATGAGGCTACTTGTCTCTGCTCAACACTTCATGATGTACGTGTTCTTGCTCAAGTCACTGAGAGATTTGTGTTCTTTTTAGTTCGATTTCAATTACAAAGGACATGATGACTGCTCAGAATGCATAAGCAAGATAAGAAACTGGATAGACAACATAAATAAGTGTAGAGCTGTATAATGCATATATATACCCACATATGGAGGAATCCGTATGATATATACTTTTTACTGATATTCATTGCTATGACTTTGATGCAATGCCGCTGCTCGACAGGCTTTCTACAACTGGGCAATAGCAATATCTGATCGAGCAAAAATGCGCGGTCGAACCAAAGAGGCCGAAGAACTCTGGGATCAGGTTCTTACTATGTAATTTTGGTAGTTAGCATTTTTGTATGAGTAATACTAGCCCTTTGTAGGCAAATCTTAGTATCTTGTTATGGAAAACCTTTTCCATGTGTGGATAAGGTCTTATTCCTGTTTATGTTTCATGTTAGCTACATGCTGTTATAAAACCCATTTTAATAAGGCCCAAGAACCATGGAAGTGTTTTTTTCTGTGGAATTTTAGTATGTATTCGTTCTAGAATTCAGTTTTGAAACACATTGTCCTTTTGGTAGTGCTGCATGGAAGTCCTTGGCCTTCTCTAAGAAATGCCTTGTAGTAATAAAAACCATTTCCTTTGATAAAAACCATTTCCTTTGTCTTGATAGAGCCTAATCTTACTGTTATGGTTGTTCAGGCAACAAAAAACTATGAAAAAGCTGTCCAACTCAACTGGAATAGCCCCCAGGTATGCTTTAAGTAACCATTTCTTTTAGTCTTGAAATTTTGCTAAGTAGAATGTTTCTTTTAGTCTTGTAGTTTTGCTAACTAGAATAACTCCGCCTTCCACTTTATTATACCTGTTGCTGATTTTGAGGATTCTTATCTCTCTTTCAGGCACTAAACAATTGGGGACTGGCTCTTCAGGTGAACTATGTTTTAGTAATGTTGATATTATAATCAGCTTCATTTATCTCCATAACTTTCAAATTTCTAAGTTCACTTCTATGGAGTCCTTGAATACTATGCTTACTTTCATGCCTTCTAATGTACATTTTAGGAACTCAGTGCAATTGTTCCAGCTCGAGAGAAGCAAAAAATTGTGAGGACTGCAATTAGTAAGGTACACAAGTAATTTGGAACTATCAGGGTGCTCAGATGACTATAGTAACTAGCAGCAAAGTAATTTGATATCTGAGGAGTCCTAAAAGAATAAGCTCTCATTGCATATGTATTCTTACAGTACTCTTTATTTCTTATGCAGTTCCGCGCAGCAATACAGTTGCAATTTGATTTCCATCGAGCAATATACAACCTAGGAACTGTTTTGGTGAGTTTGTTGGTTATTGCACTAGTTCTTAAACTGGATGACATGATCCTATTCTCACCTGTGATACATTTCTTTATGCTATTAATGAGATTAGATAATGACCTCATTATGTGAACATTTCATACAAGTGAAGCATCGATTTGTAACTTGAAATATCTTATTTTTAAATGCAGTATGGACTAGCTGAGGATACTTTAAGAACAGGCTCCCCAAATCTGAAAGAAGTTTCCCCAAATGAGCTGTATAGCCAGTCTGCTATATATATTGCTGCTGCTCATGCGCTGAAACCAAATTACTCGGTAAGAGATCTGTGTGTTGTTCTGGACTACGGAGGTTTACTGTACGACAGGCTATCTATGTGGCACAATTATTGCATGAATTTGGCTTCTCAACTTTCTCCTTAATTTAAAGTTTCAGAGTTGTGCAATTTGATTCCCATCCTTGTTTTGCGTATATGTTCTTATTTGATGTTCTAAAATCATACAGGTTTACAGCAGTGCCATGAGGCTTGTCCGTTCAATGGTCAGTAGTTAATCTTTCACCATTTTTTTCGGTTTATTTTTTTCTAAATTGATCGAGTCTTCCATAATCAATGTTGAGTCTATTAGCAATGAGAACGATCTCTAGTACCTTTCCAGGATTATTTTAATATTATAGGAGTATTTTTTGTCCTTGAAGTTCTACAGTTCTTTCATGTCAGCCCTCAGTGTTGTTTTTAACTGTCATTATCCATCCGCCACAACTGACTCTTTGAGCTGCATTAGAAACTGTTGTTTTGATGCAAGATATCCTTTCAGTATAAAGAGTTACACGGTAATCCAATACTTTTTTTTAAAATAATAGTCCTTTGGCATGGATGTCAGCCTACTCAGTGATTGGCAGTTCATACTGACCCCGCAACAATGTTCATTTCTTTTTTGTGACAACATAAGCAAGGACACTTAATTGTGAAAACTTTTAGGTTATGATTGGAAATTTTGATTTTAAAAAAGCCGTGTGAATTTAAGATTCCTATTGAGGTGTGTGATTTTGAAATTCCTGCTTTTATATATTCCCAATATATAATATAATGTTGAATCTTAATTAAATTATACATAATATATAAACTTCGTTCTCAAAATATATATACAGATGCAATCCAAAATTTTAAATCTATGTACCCAAGCATAGCATACTAATATGGCCTAGCAATACCTACTCTTGTGTTCAAATCGGTAGAAACATAATAATTTAAAAATGCAATGGCAAGCTACTGTTATCATATGCTTTAACCTTCTTCTTTTTCGAGCTTGTCTGTTTCTTTGTAAGATTATTTTTCTCAATTTCTCATTTCATGTTTAAACCAGACAGCTAACCTGGTTAATAAGAGAACTATTGAGTGGTTACAGAGCAAATGATTGTGGCGTCATCACTCTGGTTATTCTTAATTGAATTAGCTGCACAATACATTTTATATTATGTCTAAATAAAATCAAATTTTGACAGTTGCCTTTACCGCATCTTAAAGATGGGTATCTTACTGCACCACCAGTAGGAAATTCAATTGCTCCTCATAGTGATTGGAAGAGAACAGAGTTTTTCTTAAATCATGAAGCTCTTCAACAGGTAAATAACTTGTTCAGTAGGAAATTCAATTACTTAATTTTCATTTGTTTCCTGTAATGGAGATTAATTTCTTCAAATGAATGTTGATCATTAATATTTGTGATTATGTTTTCTTAAGTTCCTTTTGAATTTGGATTGAGTTATACTGCTTGATCTCTACTCTGTGCTACTTTGGTAGTCAACATAACTGAGACTAGTTAAAGACCACATCTGTTCGGACTTTCATTTTATTTCTCCGTGTTCTTCTCTTCCCTTTTCCGACTGAGCAGGTCATCAGAGTTGATCACAAACAAGTTTCCCGAAGCCTCTCTGGAAGAACTATAGATGTAACAGATATCGAAAAAAAGTCTATAAGAGTTGAGATTCCAGATATTGTTTCTGTATCCGCATGTGCTGATCTGACTTTACCACCAGGTGCAGGCCTTTGCATCGATACCAACTCTGGTCCAGTTTACTTGGTAAGTATTACGCTCTAGATTTTCGTTCTAAAAATGTCCATAAATCTTACTGAATGAATGATTTTCTTTCATACATATGGAAAACCTGATAATTGTTAGGTAGATATACCTGTGTTTATGATTTGGACGCAATCTTAGTAATATATACATGTGCTTTAGCGAGTATTTTTGTGCCGTCTCTTCCAGGTAGCCGACTCATGGGAATCACTAGATGGATGGCTTGATGCCATCCGCTTAGTTTACACAATTTATGCACGAGGTAAGACCGATGTTCTGGCGGGTATCATTACGAGCTAAATAATGCTTTAGGTATTGAGCTTTCATCTTCTGTCGAGTTTATTTGCATGCCTTCAGATTTCGTCGGATCTAATTTGGTTGCCCTGTATATTATCAAAAAAAAAATTAATAATGTACGGTTATGCTAACTTCTCTGTCAAATTATTTTGTTGGCATCTCAGCTGATATGCTACGCTATGAAACTCTGAACTAGTTTTACACAACTCTATTTGATTTAGTTACTTCAAACGTCGTATAAAAGATAATATAAATGTGTCGATCTATATAAATTGCGAAACAATTATATAATATATAAATATGAAGATCATAAAAGAATATGTTACAGTAAACTTTTTAAAAAAATGGTGTTGAATTTTATCAGAAACACGAATCCTACTCATCTAGTTCGAAGTTTTTTTTTTACACAAAGTAGAACGCATCTTCTTTACTAACACGGATTCTTCTCTAAAATTTAGTTTGTTTCCACCTCATGGGTGACATTTTACGAGCATGATTTTTTCTGTTACCATGAGGTAGCTGCAATTTTTTGCTGGCAACCCATGATTTGGAATTGTTATAGCAGAACATCGATGAGGCTAAAATAACCCCCTCCCCTCCTCTTCTTCTTCGTATTATTATTATATTCAGTTCTGCTGACTGCTCAAAACACTAGTATTAACTGAAAAAATAATTTAAACGAAATAAATCGTCATAGTTGTGCTGTAGAAGAATTATTTTCCTAGAAATAAATTCGTCTTGATTAGTGTAATCATTGAAATAGATGTTATCTAATGAGGTTAACATGATTCGTCAATATTCGTATACTTGAATGTCAAAGTCAGAATCTATCGGTATTGCTCTTCTCGAAAAGATAAGAATTGAGATTGAACTCCTTCGATTATAATTTGTCAATTGGAAAATAATATTCCAAAAATAAAATGAAGGAATTTTGTAGGAGAGAAAAAAAGAGGAATTTTGTTGTGTATTAAAATGAAAAATCAACCTTTATTTATTGGCTCAAAATAAAGGTAAAGTGGTAAAAGATCTAATAGCAATTACAAAATAATTAATTGTCATAAATATTATTTTAATTATCATAAATTATATCAAAATATTTTGTAACGGTTAAAAGCAGTAAAATATAAATCTCGATAAAATAATGTTTTATCAAGAAGATATTATCTGAAACGAATCACAAATCAAATTGAACCACGTGAAACGATTCGTATCCAATATAATAAGATTGTTTACATTACCAACACAAGTTCTAACTTTGAGCTTTCATTATAGTCTTTTTTTTGAGCTTTCATTTTTCTCACCTTATTTTTGTTATGGTAAGCATGCAAAAACAACCCAAATCTAACTTTCAGCAAGTACGGATGTAAAATTAGGTAATCGTGTAGGTTTCAGTCAGATCCTGTCAGGTCAGGTAAAATTGGATACATACAGTGGTATATCCAGAAATTTAAAAATGGGGTCCAAAATTTTAATTTTCTTTTCTTAAAAATAATGGGTATGCAAAAATTGTAATTTATTTTCTTTTTTCCTTAACACATTAAGCTAAATTTAACCATATTTCCAAAATAATGGGGATGCACTTGGCCTCTATGGGGGCTTAGTGCATCCGCCACTGGATACAGATCGTGTCAAGTTATTTTGATGGTTCGATTCGGATCTAGGTCAAATCAGTTCGGGTCATTTTCAGATTGATTTGACATCAAATTCCATTTGGGTTTAGGTCAGGTTAATTTCAGTTTGGATCGATGTCAGTTCAGGTCAAAACGGTTTAGGTTCGGAGCAGTTAAACACCAGATTAATTTAGGTTCGGATGGACTTCAGTCAGATCTCGTTTAGATCGGGTTACATCATTGATAGATAAAATTGAGTTCGTATCTTTACCATATACATATTGACTTCAGGTCAGATCATTTTTTATTTTTGGATTAATTATTTTTCGCCTTTCGTGAACGTTGAATTGCAATTTGTAATTGTATATGATTTAGAGTAAATTACTAAAAATATAAATAATTTTGGATCAATTTTGATAAAAAAATATGTTTAAGGATTAAATTGAACAAATATGAAATTACAAGTAAAAATTTAATTTAATTAAACAACACACATTGATGAGGGACCAAATCAAAATAATTTTAAAATGTGAGGTTCAAATTTATATAAAAAAAGTACTAAATTATACCCATTAAAAAAGTTATGGGTCAATTACAAAATTATAAATAAGTAATAAGTATGGGCCAATTTCATATGCAAATATAATTTTAAGGACTAAATTGAACAAATATAAAATTACAAAATTTAAGTAAATTAAACAACAAAAAGGGATTAAATCAAAATAATTATAAAATGAGAATAAAATATGTAAAATAGACTAAATTGCATTCATTTCAAAAATTGAGAACAAAATTGAAACAACAACAACAACAAAACCCAATTCCCATATGCAATGGGGTAAGGGGGAGATAGGGTAGTAGGCTGCCCCCAACGCCAGGTTGAGAGTAGCTTCCGTGGAAGACCTCCGACAGTCAGAAAATTAAAAATATAGATAAAATGCAATGCATGTATAAATAAATACATAAATACATAGTTGAACAGTATTCATATGTAGTCATTAATAGCATATGCGTGTCTGTAATGGGAAGTAATCTCTGCAAATAAATCACTAAGAAAAAATTCTCTGCATATAGACAGAAACGTAAGACCCGACTAAATTTAAAGGAGGAAACATGAAGAGAATGATACGCAGAAGTCAACGATAGCAAGCTCAGTTCTAAGCCTTCATAAATACCAATAACAGAAACGTATAAAAAGTAAAAGTCATGGAAAGTATATATATTATGTACAAACTATATATACTATGTATAAACTATATAATTTATATATAAAGTATATATAAAGTATATATAATATATATATAAACTACATATATAAACTATATATTGTATATATGAACTATATATAAACTATATATACTATATTTATATATTATGTATAATTATAAATTATATATACTATGTATAAATTATATAGTTTATATTTATATACTACTATGTATAAACTATATAGTGTTTATAAATTATATAGTTTATACATAGTAGTATATAAACCATATATACTAGAGAAAATAACCTCAGTGATCGAAAATGCCTTATAATATACGATTTTAACCAACCATTTTTGGATTTGCTAAAATGACCAACAAAATCACAACGCGAACTCTAATTTTTTAACTCAGTTTCCAAATTCGCAATGCGAATATCTAGATTCGCAACGCGATTTTGAAAAATATGTTGCGATAGTTAAAATGTATTGCGAGAGTTTGAAAAACGTGTTGTTGCGATAGTGAAAAAGTGTTGCGATAGTGAAAAATCCAAAATAAGTTTACATTTTAACTATTCCAAATTCACGTAGAGTTTGAAACAATAAAGAATGTGTTGCGATAGTGTAAAAGATTCCCAAGCCATTTGTAAGATCTTAGTTTGAAACAATAAAGAATGTGTTGCGATAGTGTAAAAGATTCCCAAGTGTTTGCAATGCTCAATCCTACATAGTATTGGAAACACTATTGGGAATGGGTATTTAAGGCTTGGATTTCCCACTTTCTTGTTGAGTGGAAGAGAACAAGGGGGACTCTCGCGCACTGCCGCCATCGTCCCGTCCCGTCTTGGGTCGTGGTCGTGGTAATACGTGTCTTCGACACGTCCGCGTTGATACTATCTTTTTAGAGAAAATTCTTAAGAAATCGCAATGTGAACTTGGACTATCGCAACGAATTTGGACTAACGTAAATTTGGAATTGTATTATCGCGTTGCGATAGTCAGAATCGCGTTTCGATTTTGTATTATCGCGTTGTGATAGTCAGAATCGCATTGCGATTTACATATTCGCATTGCGATTTACATATTCGCATCGATTTTCTAAAATCGCAACACGAATTTGGAAAATCGCAATGCGATAGTCAAAATCGCGTTGCGAATCTGGAAACTGATTTGCGATACTGGAGATCGCGTTGCGATTTAGAGATCGCATTGCGATTTTGTTGGTCATTTTGGCAAATCGAACAAAAGTTGGTTAAAATCGTATATTATAAGACATTTTCGGTCACTGAGGTTATTTTCTCTATATACTATATATAATCTATATATACTATATAGTTTACATATGAACTATATATATAATATATAGTTTATTAATATAAACTATATAAATTATTTATATACTATATAGTATATACTATATATATATATATATAAACTATAGTTTATATTTATATATTATATAAATTCAAAGTATATATTATATAGTTGAATACATTAATGTATATATATACATATAATATTAATTCAACGGAGGGTAAATCTCATTTATAATGAGTTTCTTGAGTTATATGTATTTTATTCAAAAAAAATACACCTTGTGGTTTTTTTCTTCTTTTGTCTAAAGCAATACATCTTTAAATAGAAGTAGGTCAATTTCCAATGGGCTTTGATCATTTAAAAAAGAGAAAATCGCCTCAGTGACCAAAAAAAAGTTATAATATACGATTTTAACCAACTTTTTTTGGATTTGCCAAAATGACCAACAAAATCGCAACGCGATCCCCAGAATCGCAAATCAGTTTCCAAAATCGCAACGCGATTCTTGAAAATCGCAATGCGATAGTACAAATTCGCATTGCGTTTTGCCAAAATCGCAACGCGAATATGAAAATCGCAACGCGAACACATAAATCGCAACGCGTATCCGTAAATCGCAACGTGTATCCGTAAATCGCAACGCGTATGGGTAAATCGCAATGCGTATCCGTATATCGCAACGCGTATCCGTAAATCGCAACGATAATACATAAAATCGCAACGCGTATCCGTAAATCGCAACGCGATATTTAAAGCGCCATTATAATCGCTACGCGTATTTTATTTTCAAATTACAAAAAGAATATTAAGACAAAATCCCGTAATCGCAACTCATAACCTAAAACCTAAAATCACAACTCAGTCCCATCTCCATCTCTCACTCTCTACGGCGAAGAAATCCATCTCCGAAGATTTCCGTCCCCATCTCCGGCGAAATCCCTCACAACCATTCACGGTCAGAAATCCCTCACAATATTCAGAAATGGAAAATCAACCTCCGAGGGTTAGTTTTTTTAATTATTTTTATTTTGAAATGTTTGCATTATTGTAGGTTTTTCATATTGAAACTGAT